CGCGCGAGACTTGGCGAGGCGGGGGCGGTTGGAGGGGGCAGTTGCCCCAGAACTAACGGTCGCCGCGGGGGAGCAGCGCCATTTGCGCTGTCGCCTGCCCCTGTGCCTGCCCCTCACCCCCACGGCGGTCCGCGTCGTGTGCTCTGCAGCCTCAACCCCTGTCCCCATCATCTTCTCCCCATCTTCATCTTTCCCCAGGGCTGGCGTGGAAGTAGTGACCCATCCATCACATAAGGATTACTCAGTCTTGGGTTAAAATAGTGCAGTTTGGTGGTGCCTAGTTTTGAAAAGTTTCATGAAAGCAGTGGCTTATTTGAGATGTCTTGGACTACTTCTCCTAGGCCTAGAGACAGAAGCAGAGCAAACTGAAGGAAGCTGGGGGTCCTACATATGTTTCAAGTGCAGCACTGCACTCCGAAGTTACTGAAAATAGGCAGAATGAGCATTAATGCTTGCAATTTATGCCAAATAGACAGGGTCAATACTGAACTTGAACTGCTGATGCTTTATCATCAGTCCTCAAACAGATACGCACAGCACAACCCCAAGAACAAATGGTAGATGAGCTGATGCGGACTTAGCGCTGAAGCTGCTGAAAGCAGTATTCTCATTCCATCCTAACCTCCTTCTGGATCCACTACCAGGGACTACAATTCATCATTATAATTGGAAACTAGGTGATACCTGTGCCTGGAGGACATTTTCTTACGTTTGGTGAAGTCCAGTTTGTCAAGTAAACCATCACTTGCCTGCAAGGCTTCATGGCTAAGAAAAAAGACCACACTCTTCCTCAGATACAATATTCCAATCATCCCATTGCTCTCACCTTTGATCCTAAAAGGCCAGTTGCAGCTTTAAAAATAAAAACAACTGACACTAGTGTTTCCTTGGTCAAGGTGTTGTTTGTCTTCAAACATACTAGGCAATAGCACTTGAGAAGAGCATGGGGAACAGCTGAGACCATTTGAAGAAATCTCATGTGGGTTTTCAGACCTATTCTGAAAACCTTGTGGGCAACAGCCAAATTCCACCCCCACAACTGGAATAAGATTGACCTTTGCAGGAGAGAGATCAGGTTATGAGATGGAGAGAGGATGTCTCTTTGTGAGACACGGTAATAGGCTACTGAACCTGTTCAGGACTGGATCCTTGTACCCATGTACCAAAGCTAACCAAAGAAATGACCAAAAGCAGGAGACAAGAACTAGAGGTCAAGTGCAGCCAAAATTAATAACCGGAGAAGGAAAATACCCAATTTAACCAAAGCCAGGGTGAAAAATCAGAATACCATGACCCAGTATAAAGGCAAGGGCAGATGCTGGAAGTGCAGAAAACTAGAGCACAGCAGGAGCTGCAGCTGGTAGATGAGGATTTGGATAGAACAAGTGCAGATGGACATACTGAACAGCAGCAAGGGAATGCTCTACAAGCTGCGTGAAAAGACTGCTCAGTGAGCTATAACCTAAAACTGGAGCTGCTTGAAAAGCAGGAAGGTAGGATAAGTCATACCAAGAATTCCCCTAGAGTTGTCCAGGAAAAATCATTAGCAATCTAGGACACTTGGCATACATCTTTCCATCATTTCCTAGCATTTAATGCCAATAAATGAAGGCCGACAACAGCCAGCCAAAATGTGTGAACATGCAATTCCATTACTCCTTCCCCCTCCTCCCCTCTGGGCCACTACAGCAGTGGTTTGCTATCTTTGAACCCGTGAACTTAGATTTTTAAAAGCTAGATCAAGTTTCCCAATTGTGAATGGCAACACCCAATTTGATGCTTAGCTCTTTCCTTAGCTCTTCCTTGCCCGATACTCTTAAACTTTAAAATGCAAGTGTAGATAGAACTTATGGTGACGTTGAATAGCACAGGGACATAATGAAAACAGCCACACACCTGGATTCAAACTACGTATGCAGCCTGCACTGCTCTAAGGAGGTCTTCCAGCCTGACAGGAGGATTCATGAGACGCATCAGGAAAAGCACAAGAACAAAGATGTAACCAGACATAGCCAACAGTCTGGTGGAGCAGAACAGCAGCAAGTAGCAAATAAGTTTAAAAATATATATTATTTGAGTCACTAGCTAGTGACTTATATCAGCTAATGGAGGTGCTAGGAAAAATGAAGGAAGTGAAAAGGCTTCAGTAACTGCAGTTCTCTAGATATCCTTACAACACAGCACCTGACCCCTGAGAACTCCACGAACTCCAAGACAGATGTAACTGGATGATAAGGACTGTCCTACATTCCAGTTCATGCAGAGCCCTGCGCATTTAAAAAATATATATCCAGAGAAGAACACACTGACAACCAGTGATTCAATACTCAGTAAAATTGGAAGCAAGCTCAGCATTGCCTGTCTTAAAATCATCACTACGAAGACAGTTAGCAAAGAAAGATGAGCTGGTAGAGGGACAGAATGACAGTAAAATTTCAGTAGAGATACCTGGATTCATCACTCATCCTCCATCTGCTCTTACTTAACACAAAGCATCAAAAAAGTGTAAAGCAAATAATGAATTCCACCACGAGTATGCCAGGCTCTTGGAGAACATGCTCCCATAAGGTGGATGAAAAATATTACAGGATAACAGAATATGTAAATCTTGTTTTAAAAGCATCAAAAATACATCTTTAAACCTTGTTAACACAAATGTACATGCATACAGAGTAGAAGTTGTATTTTAGACCTATTACTTGATTTGGATGACTAAAGCATGAATTAGCCCCTTTCGTTTTTGATGAAAATCTCTATGCACAGAAATATTGCTGGTTCTTGAGAGTTGAAGTATTTCACACTCGGATTGGACTGCCAAATTTCAGGCAATCTATTCTAAACATTAAATGTCAGAGCTGAGCTGGAAGCCACAGAATAAAACATTATGACAGGTTGTATCTGAAGTCTTTAATTTTAGTCCCTCGCAGTGAGACATGTGGAACAGGCACGAAGGGAAAGGAGAAGTTTATGCAAAATATGGTCAACATTCATGCCAAGTAGGAGAACAGCCCTGTTCCCTTTAGTGGACGAAGAAAGCGCTGCTTCTGCTTAACAAACACAAGCTCTGCTTCAACATTTTCAGAGGACAAGTACACTTTTAAATACCACAGTTTAGAGACTTGTAAAAAACGTATATAGATAATATTCACAGCCATGTGCAGAGAGCCCCTATGGAAGCAGCAGACTGTCATTTGCAAGTTTATTAGTATAACAACTTCTGAAAAGATAGTTCAGAAGTCACTAATTCCAGGAAACATTGTTTCATCTTAATACTTTGGCCATTCACATTTGTTTTCTAGGCAACTTGCCAAAAACACTTGTCTTTCAGTAATAAACCACAGAATAACGGTAAAGAACTGGCGTTAATTATTAGGACAAAGTATAATAAATGAAAACACTTTGCCATGAATTTAACACATGCCAAAGGAGAGTCAACTGATGAAAATCATCAGAATTACTTTATAAATATGTATTCCTTTAAGGAGTAATAAGTATTGAATTTCGTGATGGTTTTGGCCTATATACTACAAAGCATTCCTCACACACAGGATGAAAACTCAGAAGCCACAGTATATTAGACCCCAGCTACTCAATTTAACAACAATGTAAACAATTTTAAGTATTACTTTTAAACCTCCAGTCTTACTGAGAGCAGCCACAGGAATAAATAAACAATTTAAAAAATTATGCGATTTTTTTTTATTTCATTTTGTATGGTTAATTTTGTAGAAATAGGTTGGAAATAATCTTATGTGTGTCTTAACATCCTTAAGACGAGCATTATTTCTCCGGTGTTAAGTACAGAGGAGTAGTTTGAATTCATATAAAAATAGCAAATTCCAGAAAGTTTAACACCGTAACAAAAATGCCCGAACAAACAAAACACACAGAGACAAAACGAGCCCTCCACGAGCATCTACAGTCACGTACTATGGTCCGACATGGACGTTTCGAGCATCATGTCGCTTTCATTCATCTCAATCTCAAACGTTTCCTCCAGTGGACGACTGGTATCTGTACTTTTCCTCGGATTGGATGTTTCTAGCGTCACTATACCACTTTCATCCAGCGTTTGCCTTTCTATATCAAATTCTCTGAAATCCCACGAAGGTGAAATAATGTTCTTTAATGTCTTCATTGTATGCACATCAAAATTGTAACATCTTAACTTGTCTTTGATCTCTGTTCCTAAGGAAACAGACAAACCATCAGTGTATTCCAAGTGAACACTCCACAACATGCATCTCAAAGCACTATCATCCAGTACATTTTATATGTACATCAAGAAGCTCTCACTGCTTAAGACTTAAGTTTAACAGAGTTGGTCCAGCACAATCCAGCAGTCTATATATCTCTTACAAAAAAAACCAAAAAAAAGGAAGTTACTAAGTACAATTCAGATTCAAAGTCAAAGGACACGAACTGTGTAATGTCACAGTTAAGTTAGTAAGTCCAACAAAGCAGAAATATGTTGCAATGAAATTTTCTCTATCATGGAATACGCATATTTCAAACTGTGGTAATATACTGTATTACAGTAACAAAGCACTTATTTTGCCATTTGTAAATCCTTCTGCCTCCAAAAACAGAACTTTATCTCAGTTGTCTCTTATAGTGCACATTTTTGTTATTATGAATGACCTGGCCTATACCTCTCTACAGATAATCAACTCAAATCAAGTTTACCGATTTTCTTACCTGATACTTCTACTTCAGTTTCCCTCCACCCGCTTTGTTTTCTACACTGCCACAATCTTTTATATAAAAGAAATGATCACCTCCTCCCAAAGGCAGAATGCTTGTTTTTTTTTTTTTTTTTTTTTTTTTTTTTTTTTTTACACTGGTAGATTATTCACTGCCATGATGCTTCGAAAATCAGCAGTCATTTACAATCAGTTTTTCCACACTGAGCAATTCCAACTCATTTATCTTGTCTTAAAAGATAAGAAAGCTGAAATCCACCCCCCCAGAATTACCACTTTATAAGTTGACTAGATAATGCCACACAATATTTTTTTCCTGATGCCAGAATAAGACTTCTCTCAAAGAATCTGATGACAGACTTACCAATGTAAGCTTCGGAATCACCAATATACATTTCTATGCAATGTCCAAGCATTGTGACTGAAAATGTGTCATCCCTCCTAAGACCAAGGGCCTATCAAAAAGTATTAATTATACTTAGCAGTAGATAAAACAGTCATGCATGAAAAAGCCCTGTATAGCTCTCAGGTTTTTCTTTTTTTCTTACTTGAAAGCACTATCAGATCACAAGCCTTCACTGAAAAAATGAGTTCTTGTGCAACCAAAGTATTGCCACTTGAATTGGCTGAAGAAAAAATACAAAGCACAAGAACAAAACCAAAAAAGGACAGGTATCCAGGCTGAAGCTCATTCACAGCATATGAAATAAAACACACTAAAATAATGAAAATAAAAATTGTAAGGATATTAAATTTGTATAACCAAGTTATAGTTTACAATAAAGTAGACCGTATACATAATTACAACTAAGTGCATGTAAGGTACGTGAGGTTGAATCAACTACATGTATTCTCAATTCAACTAACCCAAATGCTGGAAGTTTAGCATACTTAAAAATTCCCTATTACATTATGAAATCACTAAAGCTGTCCCAAAATTATAACAAACCAGTATCAAATAATTGAAGATTAATCTGACACAACAACAATACAAAAAAAAACATCAACAATCTTTAAGTTATGCTCACTGTAGAATTTCTATTGAGACACAGGTCAGAAATATTCCCAATCATTTCAGCTCTATGTGAGGTTTACAGACATAAAACTTAAGCAAAAATTATGAAATTCAGTTAATTAATAACAAAGATTGACACAACTATTATGTTTTACAAAGAGGCTATTTTTAGTCAACAGAAAACTTGGCTTTCAAGAAAAAATGCAAAATAAACAGTAATTAGGCCTGGATAAGCTGTTGGCTCTTTTTTCTCCCCCCTCCCTAAAAGCCAAAGAGGCTGCTACAACAGATAGAGGATCTGGGGCCAGCACCTTTTTGATTTAAGCAGATTACCTACCGTATGAAAATAGTCAATTGCACTTTCAAAATTGCCCATTAGACTATGTATGTAGCCGATGGCAGAGTAAGTTGATGCGTTCTGAGGTATCAGTACAAGAGCCTGGCGATGGTATTCCAGGGCCTCTTCGTATTTCCTGTTGGGATTGAACACAGGATACCTGTTAGCAAGCTGTGGGGTGAAAGGTGCTTTTACTGTACTGCGCTGGTATTTTCCTTAGCACAGTGAAACACAAGCCATTCAAGAACTTCAGAACTACTGCTTCCTGCTTTTGACATAAGAGAATGCACAGAAGAGTTATGGATATTGGCAATTTTCTTCCTCAGCACTGAAGAGAAATCATTCCTTGTTTCCTCTACGTAACACAGCAGCTGCCTACAGCTAGACCCCATTTGGAGAGGATCTTAACAATTTGATATGGTAAATTACTTTAGATGTGTAACGATTCTTACTGTAACAGTAGCTTTATTTTGGTAAATTTTGTCTCCTCAGGGGAGACAAGGAGAAACATAAGAACTAAATTGCTCATTGTTTAAAATGAGAAATGCACCGTGGGCAGAAATTGCATGAGCCCTAATGCTGCATGCACTTTTTGTTTGTTTGTTTTTGGGTCAGGCACATTTTGTTATTGCCTCTACCAGAAAATAAAACTTTAATTAATGAATAATTTTCAATTCAAAAATGGGTGGCTGGTATTTGAAGGCAAATATGGATATGTTAGACTGTTTATTGCATATTATTTTAAAATCAAGAATTATGGCATTACTCTGAGAAATTAAATTGTCACATTTAACACTACTGTACCATATTGTTAATAATAAAGACAATTTTAATCATCCCTCTAGAAGAAATTTTACTGCTAATAGTTTTAACAAATTTATGCATCAAATAAGAAAAAGCCATCAGAGGACATGTGGTAACGACACAGAAATTTTCTGCTACTGTTTGCTTACTGCACAAAACTTTCACATGGTTTGACACTTATTTACCCCTATAGTACTTGACTGTTGAATTAACTACTATGGTATTTTAAAATACTTCTTTCAATTTTCTTATGTGGAAGTTAGTGAATGGACATCCATCCAATACATTTTCACAACAGCACTAATGTACATTATTAGTGTGAGTAAATTCAGATTATTATGGACATTTAAAGTTGTCCAAAACATAGGTAAAACTGCCAAAATTCTCAACTTGACTTTATAATGAAAGACTATTTGCAAAGTTGTTTGGAAAAGCAACGTAATGCATTTCAACACAGTGCATACTGCCTGAACGTGATGCAAACGGTACTAACTTATTGCAAGAAACTTTAAATATATTTATGTCAAACTGTAAAAAGGATTTGGGAAAAAAAAAAAAAAGCACATCCTGCAATTAAACAACGAATAGATTTAGAAGCATTTGTTTCAGTGCCTTTCATTTGATGTTGGCGGAAGGGGCAGCTATTATACATCTAATTTCCTACTGAAAATGAAGACTAATTGGCAATCTAGCACAAAGCTCCTGAAGCCAGGGCTGCCTAAGTACAGCTTTTATCTACCCTAATCACTTTCTCATTAGCAACTTTGAAGCAGAAATTATAGTACACAGCATTTGGCCCAATTAAAACCAGGTTAAAAAAATGATACTAGTTAAAATCACATTAAATATTTCACAATGTTAAAATTTGCATATGTATTTTGCAGTGTATCCTTTCCTAAAATGGAGGAAAACACATGAATGAGATGTGAAAAATTTCTGTCTGCAAAAACAATGTTTCATTGCTGTGTTAACGTCACTGAAAATTTTACTCAAGTAAAACCAGAAACATTGATTCAAGCAACTAACCAGCAAGAAAACACCTTTATGCTTAAATCTCTGAACACTGGAAGAGATGTCAGAATTTGGCCAGCAGCATGAGTCAGATCCTTGTAAGGATCTAAAAGGCTATGACAAGGTTTCTATCAAGTAAGAATCAGTAGTGAAGATAAGCCTTCTGCAATAAGTACTTTAACTTCTATGTGAAAAAGAGTATATAAGGAGTGATTCGTATGTTAATATTCACAAGGTGATTTAGGGGATTTTGTTTTTATAAGATACTTCTATACAGCTGTTATGTGGTACCTAACGTATATAGGTGGTACCTTACAGTAAACAAGTAGCCGTACAGAAAACATTTGTGTAATACTTTAGATAAACGTAGCTCTACTACTCTCTGCTTACTTGAGTTTTCTGCAGACGTGTCCCAAGTTGTTCAATAAAGGTTCCCACTTATCAACAGTTACCTGCAGAATAACACAAAAATTCAAGTAACTTCAGTTTCCTTCGACTTTCAGTGATATTAACAAAACTTGTTTACTATTTAACCAACGGTCACATTTAAAGCCTCCCAGGTTAGAAGCACTGAAATCTTCTTAGATCTTCATGGCATAATCACAACTACAGAGGGTCTTTTTATGCTGCATTTCTCCGACAGTCTAAATTTGTGCGTTCTTAAAAAGCAAGCTCATTTCAGGTACACAGATTATGTAAACCATCAAAATCCTTAGACACTTTTTCCTGAAATCAGACAAATCAGTTGAATTTGGTACATTATAAATTTGCAGCTTATGTGAATATACACAAAAGAGTCTGCGTGTTCAAGTGTTTCAGGAAGCAGGAAAATAGTGGTTGAATCTCGACTCATAGAGAAACCCAAACCACACGCACATCTGCTGTCAGTGATTTTCTTCAGAAAGTTAGTTTCTGTTACTGAGAAAACTCAGAAGAGTCACCAAACTGGCAACGCACTTTGAAGCCTCTCACTTCTAAATCCTTTCGGTTTCACAATTAACTATCCCTGAGCGGATTCCCATGCAGTGGCCCCCTCTGGTAGACGGGCCCCCATCCCCGCCTGCAGGATTTTGTTCAGAACAAGAGGGAAGTCATCCAAGAAAACGGGCTAACGCTCCAGGCAACGGGACCCATCTCCATGCACCCAGTTCCGCCACCAGGCCAAGAGCCACAGGTCTGCTGAGACCCAAGAGCGAGCATCAGATCTGGATTATACTGCCCACTCAGTAACTGTAATTCTATTTTTTAATTGCACACAGAAATGTCTCTTCAGTGCTATGGAAAGGCAAAAAGCAGACGGTGAAGAGTCTCATCTGAAACGCCAACATACCCAATTACTTTAAAGTCAAATTTATATTATTTGTATTTTAAAGTGAATGCAACATATTTTCCCCACAAAACATTACAGAAGTGGCTAAAGTTTTACACATTTCTGATCACTGACATTAAGAGGAAAAATACCTCATTTCCAATAGCTTTGATTTTTTCCAGTGCATCAAGAAACCATTTTTCTGCAGTTTTCCAGCTAAATATTAGAGAGAAGGTAAAGTAAATTATCAAGTTTTCATTAGCTGTGTGAGAAAATCTGTATGACAAGAAACATTTCTTTTGCTTCATTTATGACCAAATAATGTAATCTATAAAAATAGTAATTGAAATTTACTGCATTTCATTTGGCCACGTGATCCTAAGAGCTGACAAGACAAAACTAAGAAAACAGAAGCAGCTCAAGAACATTCATTAAACAGTTCTTACATTTTAAAGAATAAATTTGGAATTTATTCCCTGCCCCTCCCCCCAAAAAATCCAAGAGTTTAGGGTGAACACTACTAGAACCGAAAGAAACCTGGCATTCTACAGCTCGAACCAAGTATTTTAGTAGATATTCTGATATATTACATTTTCAGAAAAAATCCATGCTAAAAAATTTAATCTCATTTTGCAAACTTACTCTCCGTTTTGAAATGCAACCACTCCAACTTCATGCATGACAAAAGGATCCTCGGGTGCAATGCTTAAAGCTTGGCTGAAGAACCTTTCAGCTAACTTAGAGTTGTTGGTCAAACCATATTCCAGGCCAATATAGAGCATTGGCAAATGGCACCTGCAAAAAAAAGTCCATGCCCTAATTATTTCTGTCATGAACAACAAAGAAATACCAAGTATGTTTGCATACACTTATGTACATACAAGTAAAGAGTTGATTTGAAATAGACTACCAACTTAAGGGTGAATTTAAAAGATTTTATATTTGTAATTGACAAGAATTTGAACTCTAATTTAAAATAGTAATTTAATCTGGAATCACGTGCATGTATTTTCTCAGTGTCTAAGCTAGTTCTAAGCTTTTTTTTCCAGTTTCCTACATTTCATACACAAATAGGGTATACATATACATATATACACACACACACACAAATAGTACAAATACTATTTTATGCTGCAATATAACATGATTACTATTCATTTTACAGTTCTCTTCACAGCATCAAGCAGCTGCTCAAGACACTAATACACAGAAGTTTATGACATGAAGTGGCTGAAACATGATTTGCCTAAGTTTCAAAGAACTTTCAGACAGAAAACAGATTTGACTGGGTAACAATAAATTGCCCAAACAGACAAAATTCTTTGGTCCCTACTGCAAACATTGATGCTGAATGAAGCAAGGGGTAATCTAAGGAAAGCATGCATCAAAGGCAATATAAAAATAAGCACAGTAAATCTCACAAGGATGTCCATCAATTTAATCAATTTAATATAGCCAGTTTTTAAAAGTAATGATATATAAAAGCAACATTCTTTCAGCTCAGCTTCCCCCCCATAAAACAGCTAAAGAATAAAAACATAAAAAACAAGGTCTTGAATGAATTTGGCTTTCAACATCATCTGAAGAACTGGAATATCCACAAGACGCAGCAGTTTTTTTTAAAAATTTAATCCAAGATGACAAGTTGCTGGTGCCTGGACCAAGGAAATATAATCAACTCTACTTCTCAGGATGGGGTAAGCTCCTGATCCATGGTGCAGTCCAAAGAAGGAGATGAGCTTTTGATATCATATGGTTAATAGAAAGAAAATCAGAAAAATAGAAAAAAAATAGAATATAGAAAATAGAAAAATTGGAAAAAAAATAGATAAATAGAAGAAAAGGAAAAAAGAAAGAAAAAAGAAAAAGAAAGGAAGGAAACTTCATATTGCCCTCTCCTACTTTCGAGGGATAAAGATGCATCAGAAAACTCCTGTTGTCCTTGAAGTTCTTGAAAGAAAAAGATGAGATACTGAACAAGCCCAGTTCAGCCTCCGATTTGAGTGCTGCTGCCACCGTGGAGAGAGCAGGACACTCCAGACTATTCTAACGTTCAGCATTGCAGCCTCCAAGGATTTTTAGAAGTGCACCATAGTAGAACATAAATCCAACTCAAGAGAGCGCGATGACATTCTTGCACCACATTTCAACGCTTGCCACAGCGCAAACCAGGCTCCTAAGAGGGGTTGCCCAGACAATCTGCAATAACTTCTTTTTCTTTCACTAGAAAATACTTCGTAGTATAAGTATAGAAAAAACATATATATAAGCATTAGTAATGTATATACCTGTATTTAATAAACTTACACCAAGTATTAAAAAATCACTAAATGTTGCTAATGAATACCTACCTCCTTTCCCTTCCCAAGTAATCTCTGGGAACATAATTTAAGAAAAACATATGTTAAACAAAGGCAAATCTTGCCTCTAATCCTGCCAGCAACTAAAATGAGTACTAACAATTTAAACAAAATACCTAAGTGCTGCATATCATTTAATTGTGTCTTACTCAAATAGGCCAGCAGTAATACTACCCATTTCTTAACACTGTAACACTTGAAAAATTCTGAAGTTTGAAAATTGTAACAGTGATCAAGTGCCAAAATAAAATCAACAGATCATGAAACTCTTCTCTCTTGTTCCCTATCAGATACTCGTTGCAAATGCACCTCTACTCTTAAAAGGATATCCATCAGCATTATAAACTATTCACATATTACTTGAAGGGGTTTTTGCCATACCCTTTCATGAGCTGTGCAGCCGTGAAGTAGGCAGCCATGGCCTGGTCATGCTCGCTCTCAACGGCGAAGGAGTGTCCGTACGCGATCCACGCGGGCCCGTACGTCCTCTCCAGTGTAGTAGCTTTGCTAAAAGCAAGAGCCCGTCAATGCAGTAAATAGCTGGAATTAAATTTCATCCAATTCAACTGTCTACTTACAAAGCTATGTCTCGTAGTTAAGAATCCATTAACATAACTTACACCAATCATTGCAGAAGATAAGTTCATTTTAAAAGTTCACTGCGAAACTATTTAAAGTTTTCAAGAATTTACTGTGATATTCCTGTGGCTGTTCATACAGGTCAGAAGTTCTTTGATATTATTGAATACAAAAAATGATGCAGTAGGTGAATTGAGCAAGGCATAGGAAAAAGTAGTAGCAACTTGTAACACATGACAAAGTTTTAGCTATACATTTACAAATAGATATAACTCAAGGAAATGGAAGCATCACAAGCAGGATACAGAAATACCAAATTATGAACTCATATTGATCTGTCTGTAGGAATGTTGCCATGTTACCCTACTGATTTTAGTGAAGAGTATTAACTTGTAGCATTTCAGACATTTTCCTCACATCACAGAGGCACATAAAACTTCACGGAAGTGTCAAAAGACATCAAAACTGCAACCTGGAAGTTCCACAGAGAAATGGACAGGAATATGATGAAGTTCATCCTTTCTAAGTCTCAAGACAGAAGCTTTTCTAACTAAAAACTTCATGACAGATGCATCCAACCTTCTCTTAAGAGCTTTTTTTCCCCCCACAGAGATCCCCATCTTACATAAATAATCTATTCCTTTGCTTAAATATCTTTACGACCGCTACAGTTTTTCCCTAACATTTAATCTAGACTTGTTTGACACAGTGAAACTCATTATTTCTTGTCACAGACCATGGGAAACAGTTTGGTATCTGTCTCTTGACATAAAACTTTACAGATTTGAACATATGCATCCTCCCACTCTACATCCTAGACAGCTTCAATTACTTCAGAAACTTTCCTCATAGGTCAAGTTTCCCAGAACGTTTGTTTCCTGTCTTCTCTTGACTTTTATTCAAATGTGTCACATCCTTCTGGAGCTCCCTACTCATTCTGACTCGTCGATAGACTTGTCAACATTAAAACAGAGCTTTTCTAATTTTACAGGGGATGGGTGATAGTCTATCCCAAATGTTATTTTCCCAAATTAGTGCTGAGCTGTGGAAAGCCTTTTGTAAGATCTGCAGGAAAAGACCAGCACTTAGATACAGTGTGAGACAGCCTGATTCCTTCAGGAACAAGCAGGATCATCCTCACACACTCCTTACACAGTCAACACTCCTCTCTGACCTGTTTAGTAGGTTAGAGGTCAGGCTTTCCACAGCCTCTTCCTAGGATTTGCATTTTAGGAAGCATCTGAGACTCTAGCACATGGTCTTGCAAGCCTGAAACACTGACAGAGGATTGGCACTTTCACCCACAGTATTTCCAAATCCTTTTCTAAAAAAACTGCTGCCAAGACCACAGTTACCGCTGGCCTTGCAGTTGTACACTTTATCATTCTCCCTCCACGTAATTAAGGCATCTATTTATTATTCTATTTTCATCAGATTGTTTTAGTCTTTGACAAGATCACACTAAATTCTAGTCAAGTTTTACAACACATTTAGAGACCCTTCTATGTAGCTTGCAGATTTAGTAAAGATATTTTATCACCCAAAACACCTAAGTGACCTAAGTCACCCAGGACAACTCCCCAAAGAATTTTACTGCAGAATTTTACAGAAATTTAAATAGCCTAAGTTATTAATTTATTTTTGCATACATGGTCAATCTACAACAGGTTCCAAAGAAAACAAATGCAAGTCTTACAGACTGATTTAAAATGGTTTAGGCTTGTAGCACCAAAACAAATGCCCTTCTTCAGAACAACCAACCTAGCAGTCCAAGGCTGCCTAAGCAAAGAGTCAAGCAGGCCAATTGCAGGATTTTCTAACTCTTCTCTTTGAGTTATGTAATCTGAACCTGGTAGAATACTTATGCGTCCTTTAGCCAAAGTCTGAGTCTTGATTACCTAACCATAATTAGCCTGGCACCATGAGTGAATGCAGTCACCACACCTACCCTTAATAAGGAGTAAACTCCATAAAGAAAACCTAGATTAGGCCCATAAAATATTTTTAAATTATTATGAAGACTGAGGTTTAATTGCCACACCAAAGAAAGGTGTAAATTAAAGGAATATTTTAGAAGTAACAAGTTGACCTGGCCTTCTGTGTATTAAATAAGCCTAGAAAAACAGTGAACATTAAGGATTTATTTAGCAAGTGCAACAGATTCAAGTAACAGACACTGGACAAGTTTTACCTGAGGTATCTTCTGGCATGTTCATTTTTGTGGCCAACCATGAGATAGTAGCATCCTACTGCAAACCACGACACCTACACATTATTTCAAAATAGAATAGTTTAGCCATATTATGCTAATTTTAGTAAAACAAAACCACAACTGATTTGTGACAGAGGAACAGACGACAGAAGTTATGAACGTTTTCAATGAAATGATTGTCAGTTTAATTTTTTTTTTATTGCAGATAAGCTAAACCTGCTGGCATGTACTAGAAATATGTATGACATTAACTCTGTGTGTTCAATCTCAAGAAAGGAAAGCTAAGAACAAATCCTACTGCAGTCTTCAACTGTCGTATAGAAGGGAATAGAGAAGACAGAGCTACATCCTTCTTAGAGGTGCCCAGTACTAGAATGAGAGGCAATGGGCACAAGCTGCCACATGGGATATTCAGACTGAATCAATGAGAGATCAAATACTGGAACAGACTGATCAGAGAGACACCTTCTGCCATCTTTTAAGTTTTTGTTGACAGGAAAATCTTTATATTGAATTAATTTTATAGGTACTTTATTTTAAAAGAGCCTTCACACAAGAAAGTTACAATGTAGGGATAGTAGTAGATGTAAACTTTTCATTAGCTCCACTCAAAGATTTGGAATTCTGGTTGCTCAAAATGACTATTACAACTTCTGTTTGTATCATCTACAGCAAACTAGCTCCTAATGAACAGTTGGAAAAAACTTACAGGATTATTTGGATACAAGTCCACCAGTTTGTGAGAAAGATAGAAAAGCTCTGGATAGGGGAAGAAACAAAAACAAAAAAGAAGCAAAACATTAATACATTAAGATGTTTCAAGCCATTTAATTTTCTACTTGGAATATGCAGAACATCTAGGGGTACTAATGCATCCCCCAATAATTTTTTTTTTTTTTTTTTTTTGCTTAGCTATGATATTTTTAATTGCCTGGAAATTGATTCAATTTTCCAGTTAACTAAAAAAAGTTACATATTAAGAGCACACAAACAAGCAGCTACACATCCCACTAATAATTATGCAAAACTTAGGGAGGTCATTAACAGCCATTAAAATAAATGTCTGTAGTATTACACTTGAAAGCATCTTGTAAAGGTTTCAAGAAGGCCAAAGTTCGGCTTCCTACATCTAAAAAAATGACACATTGGCTAGCTTAGTTCAAAGAAAAGCCCCGTGCTTCAATATGCTGAAAACTGGACAAAATAATCATTCTACTATTTAGAATAATTCAAAATAGAATTATTAAAATAATTAAAGAAAAATCTATAATATATTTTAACAGGAAACTGAATTAATTTGATACTGGTTAATTATTCTCATGCTCATACAATTTCAAAAAAAACACTATTACAGTATATAAGATTGCTGTTTTCCTGGGGTACAGTGTTCTTAGACCGCTGAATTTTGTCCTGGACTCCCTTGCATCCAATTTTTGGTTTCAAGAAATTCAAATATACAAAACTTTTTACAAAATAACAATTTACAAAATGGTTCTCATGGCAGACTCTCTTATAAGAAATTACTGAAATTAATTACCTATTTGTTTACTGTGAATCTTACTAGCTCCTTGATTCTATTTTCCAAATGGTTTTGAAGACATCTATGCTAATCATTTGGATCTGAATGCTTATACAGAATTTGAAATGAGAAAAAGAACCATCGCAGATCAAAATCAGCTAGTCTTGTAATTTTTAAAGATACTGCATGATTATAAGCAGATTTGAATTAGAAATGAAATCCTCACAATAGCAAATGCAAGGAGAGAGAGTCCATAAAATCATCTGTTACGGAAAATGTTAACTTGAGCATACACACTGCTGAGGACTTCCTTACAATTTAAATGATTATATTTTCTTCTGTTGCTAGGAGAAAAAAAAGTACATCTAGATCCTCTAGAAAGAACACCTTAAAACAGACCTCAAACTACAGAAATGAAACAATGTAGTTCACTACCTTTCTAGCTACACAGATCCTTGTAAAAAGACAGCAAATTTCATGTTCATAATAGTAAAGATTATTTGTATAACTACTTCGGGCTGGTTCCGAGGATCCCTTTCAAAAATTCCCTTCTTTCCCATCGTGCTCTTGAAAAAATAGGCAGAGGAAAAGAAAAAAATCTGTAGATTTATGGATCGGATTTTTGGAGTGACTATCCATTTATTAAACTCAAATAAGAATTAAAAGCACCAAGCTTTTATTGCCTGGAAATTGATTCAATTTTCCAGTTGTGAAGCTGAAGGCAGCAGAGGAAGGGAGAGGATGGATAGATGTGCAGCACAGTGTTCACCACATACATATAACAACAACAAAGTAAATATTTTTGTCTTTCTTATTAAATATTATGTTTCTATGTTTCTTACCATTTGCTTTATTTAGCTCCACAAGCGTCCCTATATGCACAGGTAAACAGTTTGCATGGAAAGGATCTTTTTCCATTACTCTAAAAATAGAGAGAATAATAAGCAATATGCATTTTCAAAATTTCCAGTGTGTTACAAATTTCTTTTATGGTATGCAATGTTCAGGTTAATTACTATTTTAAAACAACCTAGTGACTAGAAAAGAACTATTCACAGCATAAACGCTAATTTTAAGGACATATATATTGATGTCAAATATTAAGTCTTTAATATTTATTTAGTATAAATATTAAATTTAGCTTAACAGGTAAGGATAAGAAAATTCTGGCAGCCTGAATATACAATTAGAAAAACAGAATATAAACCAACAGACAGCAAGCAACATTTCTATTCATTCAACTCATAAGCTCCACAAGCTTAGCTGCAATTTTAAAGTAGCAAATCTGAACTTCCCGAGCTTCGGGAAACAGGTTCTACAACACTAAGCAGTATGTCTCAGGAAACATGCTTAGTTGAAATTTTAAGTTTTATTGTCTGTGCTGCTTAAAATGGGAAAAAAGTCTCACAGACAAGACGTTGCATGAAGGACAGGGCTTGCAGGCAATCATCCTTTCCATAAGGACTGGCATTTGATAAACAGAAGGAGGAAAAAGAATTTTTTGCAACAGGTTTGCAGAAGCTCTTAAATCACAAGTACAGTGTTACAACTCCTGACAATTCTCTGACAAGAAATAGACTTGGAAACATTTAAAGCTTTGAAGTATTTGAAAATGTAAATGAAGTATTTGCAAAGTCAAAAGAAAAATGAAGTTTACAAATCACTCCCTTGAAGGCAGCCTAAAAATTTGAAGTCATCTGGACTTCTAATATTACTATTTCTAGGCTCTGGAATCTGGGACATTCTCTTCCTCGGGACATACATATATAAACTTCTGCCACTTTCTGCTACAGGAGTTGTGGCAACTAGATAAATCATATAAAAATGTGGTAACATAATTTTATTGACTTCAGTGAAGTCCTTAACTCCAATGGGAACATGATTTTACTCAGATATTTACATTTTCATCAGCAGGGAGTATTCTCTAGAGCATTGCCAAACTCTTGCCAGAACGGGCCTCTAGGGAATATTCTACATGGCTATGGTTTCCTTGTGCCAAGAAAAAGCTGCATTACAAACTATAAAGTCGAATATTTATTTTACACTACAGTGTCTTGAGACTATGCAGTACACAGAAACACATAGTTTTCCTATAAAAAAAGAAAGTATATCAGGGCTGCACAGAACAACTCAACAGCCATGGGAATCATACTTAGGAAATCAAGGCAAATCACACTTCCCAAATGACCACCAGACTCAAACCTGCTCACTCTGAAGGCCAAATCAGAGGCAACTAGAGAACCTGTGAAGCTGAAGGCAGCAGAGGAAGGGAGAGGATGGATAGATGTGCAGCACAGTGTTCACGACATGGAGCTTTGCTTTGGCTATCAGCTTTTATGCATGTCATTGCACTTGGTAATGAAATTTCTAAGTCCAGGCATAATTTTTATTCTTATTCTTTATTCTAAAAACAAACCAACCAACCTCCAGGTTGCTTTATGTACTTACACTGAAGTAAGTTTGTAGCACATTTTGAAGTCACAGTTATAATAATGTCTTTCAGCTAGGGATACAACTACATCCAGATTTTCCTGGAGACCATCTACAGACTCAGGAATCACTGTTTCACTGGGTTTATTATACTGAAATATAAACAAACAAACACTCAAAACACGCGAGTCCAACTTAAAATGAGAACATATAAATATTAGTGTTTAATTTCAGTTCTAAAAGACTGTACCTACATTAAGCTTCTCAAAAATTCTTAGTTTTAAACTATAAGTCCATAAACTCCATTATTTGGTAAAATTAATCTTTATATACTTCAAAAATTCTTTTCACAGTGTGAAAAATATTTGTCTGACACTAATTGAAGTTCAGGCTCTAGAAAAGAGCGTTTGAATGACACCACTGACTTTTGAAGCCATCACCTTATCTTCAGCAAAAGAATTTTGTAATAATCTTGTCAGAGCCCATTATTGACAGGTAACTGACATTTTATCTGGATCAATAAGAACATTCCTTGTTCTCTTTTCCCACCTATAAGTTTCTCATGAAATAAAGCTGAAAAAAAAAATCAATTTCAAGTTACCAACAGGCAAAACCATAAAACTCCAGAAAATGGATTTACACAAAGCTATAATTCTACCACAGATAAAATGACACCTATATCATACGTTTTAAAATAACCAATACTGTAAGGATCTTCTGTATTGCTAACACAGAATAAACAGAATCATAGAAAATTTACATCTAAAGTCCAGAATTCTATACATCTTTTCAACTTTTAGTCAGTTTGTTCTTACCTTTTTCAATTTATTCTCAAATAGAAAGTGCAGCAATTCCTGTTCTTCTTCTGTACATTGTTTACTAAGAGGTAGAGATTCAAGAAGTTCTTTTTCTGTGTGAATAATTTTTTTTGAAATAGAGCAGAAATGGTCAGATGAGACACCCATAGAATTTTGATATGCAAAATTTTAGTGAAGCTCATCCTAACACCACAAGGAAGATAACAGTAGAAATACACTAAAACAGATAAAAACAGATAATACTGCCAATTAAGAAAAAAAGAATGATTTAATTAATTTTTAGCATTACAAGATTAAAATCTAAAGTTTCAATGTAATTTTGAGATTAAGATTTTCACTCATTTAATAAGATTACTTCTGCCCTTCTAATATACAACTATCACCTAACACTTCATAGGTATCTGGGTGAAATCAGGGTCTTTCAAAACATTTTGAAGTCTGCTAATTGTGGCACTGCTTTAACTTTTGCCCAGTAAAAGGCCAGGAATGGAGAAAGCAGCTAAATGTCACTGTATTACAGAAGCAAACACTGCTTGTCAGACCTTCTTGTGCCGTCAGCATATGGTGCGAAGTTAAGAGATCAAATGCTTCAAAGCAGTAAACATCAAGCTTCAAGGCCTCTTTGTAGCTGTACGTTGCTAGGGTTCTGTTATCCAAAGCATCGTAGATCTTCCCCCGCAAAAGGCAGATAGAGCTCTTGATCTGGTGGAAAAGCAGGGCTGGAGGTCAAAGACTGAATCAATGTTTGTAATTTGGTTTTGAGCACAAATCAAATGGGCTCCCTGAAAAGTAAAAAGTGTTTAATGTATGATGAAATCTCATTTTTCTAGTGCTGTCTTGATTTCTTTTTTCCTCTAGTAGCTTAGAAATCAAGTGCATATTGTCCCAGGTTATTTACGGCCAAGCACACTAGAAGAAGAGGAAAGAACAAAGTTTATTTTTCCTACTGTAGGCATCCTACTTTCTGATACAGAGTTCTAAACTATCTAAACCAGGTTCCCTTCATAGGCAGAGGGAATGGACACTTCCAAAGTGCACTTCTCTGTGGACTGTTAAAGACAGCACGGCATTGGAAGTAGATTTAATTTTTTTTCTTTTTTTTTTTAAATCTTAAATTAAATTGGATAGGCTTTATCTTAACAAACAGTATTTCAGACAAGCTGTTAAATAGTAAGAAGATCAGTAAATATAAATACCATTTCTGAATAAAACCCCTTGAATATAGCTTTGTGGTTTTACTCTAGATTTTAATTAAAACACATTTCATGCAAGGCAATAATAATAATAATAATAAAAATCAATGGACTCAACTAACTCAAGCAGTACAATGTATTTTATCAGGCTAACTCTCAGTCAGTAATGCGAGTATGAGAAACTGCAGAGCTGCATTAACAACTAACACACCCTAAAGGCTGGTAAAGGAGTCATGCTTTTTTTATTTACTTGCTTATTTATTTTGATTAACAATTTCTCACAGCAGTACCAACTTCAGCAGTTCCCTGCTTTGGCAACTAAGTTATCACAAGCGTTCCTGATAATCAGAACTTACTAAGCTGATTTTTTTTTTGGCTAGGTTACTTTCCAGTCAAAGTAGTCTCCCAATTAGGTGAGCGACCAGCCACACAGGCTCTTGGACCAGCACACCATGGAACAGGGAGAAGAAGGGAAGGAGCATTAGTGAACAGTCAAAAGCCAAATACTATTTTATTTGCTAGCAGTGCCACCTTAAATATACTTATTAAGGTACACTGCAATAACTCAATCTAATTAACCTCTGCATTAAGCCCATTAATACCAGCATTAGGAAATAGGTTCGCATTGATAAGTTATTCCATTTTGGTTGCTCACTTTTACAGGAAAAATTCTGTTTGTCAATGACCTACACCACAGTTTCAGCTAGTGAGCATCATTTCACAATGTGGTAAGCCAAGACTCCACAGGGAATCAGTTCACATGGCTCAGCCTAGGCATGGCAAACATCACTCACAACCATATGGCCATACAGAAGATTTTTCCACTGTGCTTCACACATTTCACTTAGTCCCACATAATTCAAGTGTGAATTTTCAAGTAAACACTTGAGCAATCAAGAAATCTCTTATTAAAGTGTCTGATGGGAAAGAAAGGTTACTTTATGATCTCAGAACCTGCAGTCCAATTGAAAGGAATGACAGTTTTCATTATCAAACTCAATTATAGCAAAGATCTAGCATTTTCAAAAACAATGCTAGGCCAAAAACTTTGTGCAAAGCCTCTATAAGTAACTTATGAAGAATTCTTTGCAACAACTTCCCATATTGCCAAACAAAATTACTTTTGCTCAGACAGGATAACAGCTAATTTCTGGTTGCATTTTTGAAGTTCATGTTACCTAAAGAAGAAAGGTTAAGCATGTGTAGAATTTCAAATTAAAACAACTCTAAAAATCACTTGCTGACATCACACACACTTTTTTTCTCTGTTATAAAAACATTTGTTTCAAAGTTGTCACTTACGGAGGACTGTGACATCTCCCAGTCTGTGGAAGAGTCTTTCAATCCACTTTCATCTTTCAAGTACTTTTCAAAAAGTCTTTTATTGATTGGTTCTTCCATGTCAAGAATATCCAGGGCCTGCTGATGTTCTTTTGCAGCATACTAGCCACAAACACGTGCATGTAAAAAACAAGGTTGGGGGTTGAAATATCTGTACATAAAGCACCAATAAATATAGTGTCATAAATCAAAGGCAAGAATTACAGCAACTAGTGCCTAACAGCGGTATTTTCACTCATGCAAATTCTTATTCAGATATATATCTCTTTATCATCAGAATCAGCTATTTCATTAGTTATCTGTAATACCTACCTGTAATACCTAGAACTTAACACCAGCAGAAATACCTATTATTCAGCATTATGCAAAGATGGAAACATATATGCTTCCGAAATAATTAACACAGTTTTTAATAAAATTCTTTAAATATTCCATAATAAGTATTATTCTATTAAACACATGTTCTATTTTACACTTGCCTCCATCTACCAGCTGATTCTATTTGTCTGTGATAGCACTGCATTTTTCTATGTCACACTTTAAAAAGAGTGATAAAGCTATTAACTATATTTACATATAAAGCACACAACCTCTCAATGAACAACAATCAATTAAAAAATGTAATTATGCAAATATGAATGGAAGAAAAATCATCCAGATGCTTGTCCCATAAAATATTACAGAGAAGTGCTTTGTTTCCTAGCAAAATATCAACTGAACTTCTTCAGAAAAGCACCATGGTAAACACACCAATAACATCACTGAAAGCCAAAGGATGAAGTCAACAACCATCACAAAATATAAACCTGTTATTTCAATGAACACTCAGACATCTGCAACACCTTTAAATACCTAGTCTTCTCAGATGTGCATCTTTTATTTAGTTTGGTTTGTTTCCAGTAGAGACCAAAACAGGTACTCACATGACATCTAGCTGCAAGGTATCGACATGCTTCATACAACTAAAAGAGAAGTTTCATATATGTTGTGTTAGTTATTAACAGAAAGCATGTAATTCTTTCACTCTTCTATACTCCCATCTGTTCTTTAACTGTTATAGTTTTTTTTTCCATACCTTTCATGTGAGAAAAGTTTTCCTTACCAAAATAACTCAGAATCACATAATTCAGCTTGTAATATGCTTTACTCTTAAACTCTCCATTCAAAGGACACTCTTTACTCTTGCTCTCACCTCTCATCAGCAGAGTTGAGGACAATTACAGTTGCAGTAATGCCCTCACCATCCCATAGCACTGACCTGCTCCAGTTCCAGACTTGGACCCCTTCTCTTCTCTGTGACTCCACCCAGAACCAATAATTTCATTTGTCTAAGTGAACATGTAGCACTATTTGATTTAAATTAACTGCATTATGCAGGTTTCATAATCAATCTCCCCTAAGACCTTAGTCTCTGATGTTGAAGAGGTCACTGTGGTTAGCAATAAAGTTTAAGAAATGGAATGACAGCATTAAATGACTTACCTTGTCCAATTTCCGTGATCGAAGAGCATGTGCTGCCCTATGATACTGAGCTGTTAGGTAAAGACACTGGGCCAACCAATAGATATCTTGAGGTTCCTCTTAAAAAAATCAGAGCAAATTGTAAATCATTAATTTACAGGATATCTTTAAACACTTTCATGCAGAATATTTACTTCTAACTCACTAGAAAGTAAGCATGCATCTTCCCTTCTAGTCTACTATTAAGTCACAAAGTTAAAAAAGAAATTCTCAGAAATTAAAAAGAAAAAAAAGGTCAGATTTGAACTAAAAATATATCAGATAATACACTGGGCAAAGAATCTCAATCTCACATAAGCAGGCGTGTCATGAGACAGAGGCTGATAGGAGCAACATACACAAAGACAGTATATTGCACTAGTAGCTATCCTGCCCTGGACATAACCTGGACAGTAAAACAAACAAACAAAAAAATAGAACTGTCTCTCTAGAAAATCTGCAGAAACCTAACAGTAGTGAGTGTGAAAACATGAGACTTCTGCAACTTGGAGTTATAAGGAGCAGAGCTTGGCACTGTCTTACATTATCAGTACAGGTTGCAGGATCAAGCCACTTAAATCATGTTAAGAGACGTGGACAGACTACAGCTGTAAGCAGAAACAGGCTAACAACATGGGGCCATTCTGCAAACCTGGATTATATCTATCACACAAGATACATACATATCCATATACCTCCATCTATCACAAGCGTGTGATAGATCTATCACACCCTGTCTCTTAAGGTCTGCACTTTATAGGCTGGGGCAGACAGTAATTTTTATACAAAGGGAAGGAAGGTGGCCCTGCACTAACTGAATAGGCAGCATCCCAGAGATCCCAGAAAAGCCCTTATACAAAGAAATTCACAAAGCTTCTACAATAGTCTAGAAGCTTTAAAAGAACAGGATAACAGTAACAGAAATATGTTTCAGCTCCATTAACAAAAGATAAAGTAAAAACCACCTACTTACCATGAGACAGCGAAGCTACTTTGTCTGCCCAGAATAGGGCACTTTGATATTGTTGCTGTAAAAGAATGCTATAGAGAATTAGTATTTATTTGTGGTTAGTTTTCCCAGCTTATTTTGAAATATAGTTCATATTACTTTCACTTAATGTTTTATTATATGTCTTCTCTGATGAATTCACATTCATGATTAAATTCACATTTGAGTTCTTCAAAAGTTAAAAAAAAAAAGTTTTAAAAGGCTCAGTAATCTCCTGTAACCTCCACAAGGCCAACAAAACGTCAAGCAATTTGAGGTGAGGTTGTTTATTTTCAATAGAAAGCAGATATTGTTGACCAAAAGCTATATGCTATATAATCACGACAGAATGTCAATAGTAGATTTGCTACCACTGCAGAGTGACATGAACCTCCCCTCCAGTTAACATAAACATTGCATTTTAGAAGAAATCAAGTACTACATAAGAAAAGGAAATTCAAGAAACTCTCACAGCACTACCTACAACTAAGAAGTTTTCACACTCTGGTCAAGATGCTTTAGTGTCACATAATCCAAGGAGGAATTCCTCCTTACTCTTGATACACCTCTGTCACACGCAGGTGCTTGGGGGGAAGCAGGGATGACAGAGGGCAACTGAAGAATGGATGGAAACAGCGTTTGTAGATACAGCCCATTAATAATTGTGCAGTTAACGGTTTCCAACTGCCTGTTGGAGGGGATGTCAGGGAAAACCTCACAATGCTGTCTGGGATACCCAGAATAGCAGGGTTACCGCCTTTTCTTTTTATTCTCCTCTGCGGTACCACAAACATCTGCTTCCCGGCTTCTGCTGAGCATTTCATTTATCAGGTGGCTTATCAGGTAGCAAAGCCCGGCAACACTGGGAAAACCCTGACCACTCCTGCTCTTTTCTACAACATTATAGTTGAGGAGTTAGTCTACGACTTTAAACAAAATAAAACCAAAAAAGCTGATATCTGGGTTTCAAATTCTGTCTCCTCATTAGTTCAAAAATTCCAGATAAATAAACATCTATGAGAACTGGGGCTTGAATAGCTCCCTTGGCACCACGAAAGAAAGGCCACATACATTTTTTTTCCTCAGCATTTCTACAATACCGGCTATATTGGTCAAAGCAGAAATGCTGCCTCCCTCCTGCTGCCCCTTCCTCAGAAGGGGTCTCAGAAGGCCCTTCCTGCCCATTCCCTAAAGAGCTGCCTGTTGAACCTAGTTAACAAGTGGGCTCAGCAAAACAGAATGACAAAAATTGACCAACTTCACCACCCCAACCCACCTCCCAAGCTGATTTGCTGTCTGTGCCTACGAGTATTTACCCCAAGGGAAGAGACACGCTTCTTTCAGAGGTGAAGCCGGTTCAAAGCCTTTGAACTGGAACACAGCAGCGCTGCCTCACGCTGTATTAATCTAATTGTCTAACATGTGTTTCCTCCTTTTTTCACTCATGCACTCATTTGCGGTAAACCTGCCCCGCAGCGCCCGAGCCGCT